TATTTATAGGGGAAAACTAATCCTAGGATTTGTTGTTAACTATCCTAGGAAACCCCAAAACCATGATTAAGTTACTTAGAAGTCGAGCATGACAGGTTATGATGCAACATGGGTAGCTGGCTGAGTGACCGACATAATCCCATCGTAGGCGCCCAAGGACAGACAAGATCTTCAGGGTCAGACGGTGTCATCAGTAGAACCGGCGGTTGCAGCGCCGATTCCTCTAGGCATATCTTCGAGGTGGATTTCTCGGGCAGAGGGCACAGAGAGTCGAGGACAGTTGGCTGGAAAATATCTTCTTTCACCTTGTGCGCTCTCAAAATGCCAATCGAACTTGGCATTTTTATTTAACTCAGCAATCTCCTTATGTCGCGATATTTTCTTTCCTCTTTTCCTTGCTTTCAATACCTGCACTTCATCAGACAAGTACCTTTCCCATAAGGCAGCACCGCTGTAAAAATAAAATGCCACGACAAATCGAAATCCACCACATGCAACTAAATGTTTCTAAATGCACCTACATAGTCCTAAATGAGCCTTTAGACATTCAATAACTTAAGTTAAAAGGTCCCAAAATGTGTCTTTTTACGGAGTTATCAGATTGGATCAAAGGCATATATCCTCGGGAGCTGTTATCATCTAAATTCATGAAAGATAAATGGAATCGAGACGATTTGTTTACCACTCCCATGAAAACATGCTTCGGCCTACTTTCGTAATCAAAAGATCACAGGTTGAGTTATTGAAGAAATGGGTTTCAATAAATTTGGTGGAAGAAAATGGATCGAAGAAAATAAGGGGTTTCAACGTTCATAGTATCGTGTGCATACATGTGGTTTGTTTGAACAAATTACAAGAAAATGGATCCGAAGAAGATTGCCATTTACTTTTCTTATCAGAATGTAAGCACCGCCTGAATTTCCCTTCAACATACTTGGGGAATGACAATGGTCCCGGATCACATTTCGACTTAAAGTGAATTTTATTGTTTTTGGAGTTATCACCAACTTTTTTAGATTAGATAGGATCAAATACTTAAATTTTACCTTTAACAAGATCTACATCTCACCATAAATTCATTTGGAAGAGTTAAGAAGTTACTTACATGTGAGGAAGGATGAGCACCCCACATTGCTCTTTCGGTACCAACTCATTTATAAGTTGTCATAATAGTGAAAATTGAAATTAGAACCAAAATTTAAAGAAAAGATCTTAATTATTTACCATTGAGATTACGTACCATGAAAAAGAATAAATTAGAATTTAAGAAGAAATTTAAAAAAAAAAAGAAAAATTAAAGTTTAGTCTGTAAACACGAAATAAAAGGGTCACATATATCAATATAAAAGAAACATACATAAAAACTAATTGGAATTAGTATTAATGTACAAAACTTAAAAAGTGTACACACAATAAATAGAAAATGAATAAAATAAAATTAATAAAAAAGAAATTTTTATTATATTAAATGAAAATAAAAAATATCCAAAAATTTAAAAGTAAATAAAAAAAGTCAAAAGAAAATATTAAGTAGCCGTATTCAAGTAAATTAAAAGTAAAAAAGAAAGAAAATCTAAGAAAATATATGGTAAAAAATCAAATTAAATGAAAATGTTGAATTAAATTTAATGAGAACATATCCTGCTAGTCATAAAAATAACAATATTAAAGAGCAATTGAAGAGAATCAAAAAGAAAAATTAAATATTAAATAAAAAACTAATAAATTAAGAATGAAAGTATAAGATGAAGAATAAAATAAATTTAAGAAAAGAAATAATAAGAATGACAGTTGTAATTATCTATTACACAAATAAAATATGTGGATCCCATAGGGATTCAAATCGGATCATTGAGTCATTTAATCAAATATAAAACTCAAAAAAATCTAAAATTGAATTAAAATAAATAAATAAATAATAAACTTTTCATTTAAGATCAACCACCGATTTTCATTGAGAAACCTAAAGGAAAACTTGATCTATGAAGATCTAATTGAAAGTCTTTTCCTTATTCATTGGTTCTCTCATTTGATGAGATTTTCAAACAAAATCAACATCGAAGCAATAAACACAAAAGTAATAAAAAATATGAAAAAAGAAAATCATCGGCTTTCACTGAGAAACCTCAAGAAATGTTAAATTTAGGAAAATCTATTCAAGAGTCTTTTCCTTGTTCATCGATTTTCTCTCATCCGATAAAGTTTTTTAAGGGAAAAAGACGGATGAAGTAGATCGAAACAATAAAGACAATAATAAAAATAAAAAATAACCATGAATTAACTTTAAAAAAATCATTTTTATCTCTCTTTTTTTCCTCCCTTTTCCCTCTCTTTTTTCTGTCTAATTACAAAATAAAATGACTTATTTATAGGCTCCCAAAACCCTTAAAGCAAAACACCTAACATCTTTTCATTAATGCTAGATATACTAATTGAAAGAAAAGTACTTCTAAAATAATAAAAAGATCTTAAATAACCCTAAATAAACTATGAAAAATATAAAGCTTAATTTAATTACAAATATTCAATAAAATAATTGAAAACTCGTAATAAATTAAAATCTCCGTATTTGACCCATATCCAATTTTCTATAAGTGTTGTCTTCGCTAAAATAAACATATCTTGAGTTTCTGATGTCCGATATGCATTGGAAAGGTAAATGAAAGACGGTTCATTTTCAAGAAGATATCATGCCTTAAAAATGTCTGAATCTTGTCAAAAATTTGTTACAAGTTGACTGATGTATTAGGCTTCAAAATCAAATTTAATAAAAATGTTTCGACTTTGAAAAAAAAATAGAATGAACAAAAATCGGGTATTATATGGCCACGTTTTGCAGCAGCAAAAAGGAGCGAGCTGAGGAAAGAGGACGGAGTTATTGTGGTTGCAAAGGCCATTGGAAGACAAGGAATGGAGTTGGGAGCACTAAGAGAAGCTGAGAAATGGTTATCAAAGGTAGAGGAGATATTCAAATCTAGAAACAAGGTGTTGTTGAATTTGGTTTAGCACTTTCTCAACATCAATTGCTTACTTTCAATGCTATTTTTCAACGGGGCTTGCAACACCTTCATTAATGTAATCCTCGTTTCTCATACTACTTTCCTATTTTACTTCGTCTTCTACAATTGACCTTTACAGTCTCATCGTCCATCTTAGCGAAACAGAACAGAAACCAACCTGTCTCAGAGCAATTATTATTAGATAGAGTTTAGTTGATGCAATTACTATAGAAATCCTGGATTCGTTTTATTGTACCACGACCTATTTAAAAGTTAATTTATAACGAGTTTTAACTTAAAATTTCATCATATTCAACCTAAAAAAAGTATACAATTGGTAATATTTTTGGTTATAATAAAAAAATTTATACTGTGATTGATTTTAACTTTTGATTTTGAAATTTATACTCTAAAAAATATATAATTGATAATATTTCAGATACTACCAAGAATATCTCAATGATAATTTTTGAGGTTGCAATTGGAATAGATATGCACTTTATATAATTTAGTATGTTGAACATAATTTTTTTTATTTCAATTTAAATTTTTATTTAAATAGTTATTCTCTTAATAGATTTTTGAAATTACAATCGATTATTATTATTATTATTTAATTTTTTATTAATCAATTATATTTTAGACTCTGTTTGTTTTACTGAAAATATTTTTAAAAATTTTTTACAGAATGATTTACGGTGTTTGAAAGTTGTTGTGTAAACGATTTTTCACTAGTTAATAAATTTTATAGAAATTATTTATTAGAAATATGAATATTATTTATTATAAATATTAAAGTAATTTATTTAATATTATTTGTTTTAATATTATTATTAAAATATTATTTATATCAATGTTATTATTAAAATATTATTTCTATAATTTTATAAAAAATAATATTAATACTTGAATATTCTATTAAAATAAAAATATTATAAATTATTTTAAACATTTATTAAAATAATAATATTATATTGTATTTTGAAAATTATTAATAAATACATTTTAAATATTACTAGACTATTATATTAATATGAAATACATAAATAATATTATTCATTATTAATAATTTAATAATATTATCTTTAAGTAATTATAAATTTTATTAATAATTTATTATATATTATTAAAATAAAATTATAAAACTATATATCATTATAATATAATTAAGTATATTATTATAATATCAAAAATATAATATTACATTATTAAAAATATTAATAAATATATTTTAAATATTTTAATAATTAATAATATAAACCTTTCAAAAAAATAATAATCTGAAAAGCCTCCCTTGCTAAAAAAATAATACTTTGTTAAGTCTCCCAACTATTAAAAGTCACAAAATAGTTTCACGACTATAATATGTTGCTTTGTTGAGTCATTTGACCATTAAATGTTACAAAATGATCACCCAACTATTCATATGTTCCAAACTCGTCATTTCCATTAAAAATTAATGATCGTCTAAGTTGGATGTTAACATGTTGACTGGAGTATGATAAAATCTGATCTCATAACCGTTTGAGCTGTATTTTGTGGATCTACTCTCCGTTTACATTATGTTGTCGAGCCAGTGCTTAAACCAATGGCGGTGCCAATAGACATCATTAAAATATGATTTTATCGTAACTCAGTTGGCTGGTTAATAACGTCTAGCTCAGATGACAGTCAATCTCTTAGCGTAAAAGGATGAATTTAGAACATAAGAATAGTCGAAGATCATTTTATAATTTTTAATAGTTTGAGGACTCAATAAAACAACACCCTATAACCGAATGATCATTTTAAAACTTTTAATAATTAAAAAACTTAACAAAACAACTCCATATAATCTGATACCATCTGTATAATTTATTCTTAAATTTAAAAATTCAACTTAAAGGTTCATAGGAAGAATGATGTATTTAAAGAATGAATTGGTCTTCCTTTAAAAGAATCAGATTTGTTTCATATTGTTTTAGTGGAAAATGCAAAGCTTTGTAATTAAGCTCTAAATTAATGGCGGACAAGATAGTTATTGAGGATAGCATGGTGTTTCCTTCACATGGATCGCTTCTTAAACCTTGGACTCTTCCTCTTACCTTCTTGGATATAACCTGGCTTGGTTTTCACCCCATGCAACGCCTTCTCTTCTATGATTTCCCTTATGATTCCTCCCATTTCATTCAAATTGTTCTTCCCAATCTCAAATCATCTCTTTCACTCGCTCTCCAACATTTCTTCCCTCTTGCGGGCAATTTTGTGTTTCCTCCGCCTCCTCTGTTGGCTTATATTCGATTCGAAGATGGCGATTCGGTTCGGTTTATAGAAAAAGAGACCATCGCAGATTTCCGCCATCTTATCGGTGACCACGAACAACATGTCGAGGAATTTCAAGCTATTGTAACCGATTTACGGCGATACGACGTGTCTCGACTTATTTGTGAAAAATTATATTTTGTGAAGAAATGTTTTGGAATCGCCATTGACCTTTTGGATTTGGTAGGTTGAATACCTAAAAATTGTCTTTTAAAAGAGTTTTTAAGAAAACATCATTTTAAAAGATAAACAATTCTACGTGTAATCAGAAATTCATTTTTTGAGTAAAAAAAGGGGTTTAGGTGTCGATTACGCGTGGGGAAGGATAAGCACCCTCACAACGCCCAAAATTAGTACCCCATCGATTATAAATTGTCTCTAATAGTGGAAATCTAAGAATTCAAATATAAATTTAAGTTATGATCCTATTAATCCAAATTCAACTATACAATTTTTATTTAACGGAAAATTCTAAGGAGAAATAGAAAATATTCTAATATTTCCAATCGAAGAGAAAATAATCTCTAAAATACTTTAGAACTAATATTTCTCTTTCCAACTGAAATAAAAATATATAATAATTTCTCCCAAGAATTTGAGATTAAAATAATTTGATTCGACCAAATAAAAAAATTTAAGCCCATATTACATATTTAATTATAAAGGATAAGGGATGTTCAATTATTTAAAAAGATCAAGACTAAATCCCTAATAAAAATTAGACGAATTGTCTCGACATGTTTAAATAAAAGAACATTTTATTTTTCCTTTAATCTTGATTAATTCTAAGCATACTCAACTTTTTTATGTTCTTGTAGTAGGGTATTTATTTATTTTAAAATATCAGAATAGTATATCTAGTTACTTTAAGACATTCATTTCTTAATATTTCAAAATAAATAAATATTACCTTTAATCCAATTATGAAATCGATTGAGTTATGCTTATGAGGCTTTCATATATTTGAAACATCTAGATCTAAATGTACAAACAAATTTACATGGAAAAGGAGAAAAAATAAATCTTAATAAATTAAGGGAAATGTTATAATTCATTTAATGTGAAATTAATCAAAATAGGCATAGAAATACATTTAAAATCCAAATATGCTAAGCAAGGTGAAGAAATATTTAAACAAATTAATTAATCATGCTCAATGCTAAAAATTTCAATTTTAGTGGCAAAAATATAAACATAAGAAAAGCAATGAACAAAATAACTATCACACATCAATGGTGGTTAAATGAAATAGAATCATAAATAAAATCATAAATAACATAAGGACCGAAATACAAGATAGCAAAATAAGACACTCAATATGATAAAATTATGAAACATGCATATATATATATATATATATATGCATTTAAGCACAATTGATGTGTGATAGTTATTTTGTTCATTTCTTTTCTCATGTTTATATTTTTGCCACTAAAATTAAATTTTTTAGCATTGAACATGATTAATTAATTTGTTTAAATATTTCTTACAGAAACTAAAGTGCAATAATTAAAGGACTAATATTAAAGTATTGAGAAATGAAGGGCAAAAATAAAAAGACATAAAATTAAAGTAATGAAATTAAATACTGTAATTAAATAAATAAAAAGTAAATGGAAGAAATTTAAATGTGCATTAAATAACAAAAAATAAAAGAGCAATAAAAATGAAATGTTAGTATTAGTTTTTTTAATGTTTAACCCGTACCATAAATAATGTGATTCGTACCCCAGAGAAGGTCATCACAAGGTCGTACTATGGTTCGAACATAAAATAAATAAATAAATAACAAGTTAGCGGTTAGTGGTTAGATGTTACTAGAGTTTGGACCATAATAATGTGGATCGTACCCCGGATAGGGTCACCACAAGGTTTATAACATCCCAAACATCGGATCGGTGACCAAAAAGGTAAGAAATGAAAGTTAATAGTTAAATTGTATTAAGTTGAAAAGTTTAAGGATTAATTTGGAAATTTTATTCAGGGCTTTTTAGCAAAGATGGAAGACATGAAGGGCAAAGTAGTCTTTTGATGGAGTGAATTAAAAAATCATTTAGGGAGAGATATTTAACATAAGTTATTGGATAAGAAGGGTTCTGGAAGCTTATATTTCTCTCATTCTTTCTCTTCTCGTTATCTCCATCAAAGGTAAGTTTTTTTTTTAAAGTTGTTGGATTCTTCAATTTTTGGTTTGTTAATGAAAGCTTGGGTTTAATATATCCTTAAGGAAGGCTTGTGAGTATAACAACAAGATAAGTGAATTTGAAAGGAATTTGTAAAATGGGTTTCGAAATGAAATTTTGATATGGAGTAGTTTTTTAAGTTTTAATGAGATATTTGACTTGTCAATGAGCTAATTAAAGGGTTAGGAGTATTAGAAATGATTAAGAGCTTGGTTGAAAACATGGTATGATTTTTAGATGTAAGTGTTTTAGTGAGATTTTGTATGTTAGGGAGTAGTAAATGAGGACAAGTTGGTTTGGAAGTATAAGGGTGAGTTTAAAGGCTTAAGGTTTGATGAATACAAGAGATTTAGGAGGTTTTAAGGTTATTTTCGAAGTGAAAATAACCATTCTGGGCTTCGAGTATCGGTACCGTTAGAACAATATCGATACTTCAAGGGTTAAATCTGTGTATTTCTTAAGGATAATATCGATACCAGTTGAAGAGGGTATCGATACTGAGTTGGTAGTATCGATACCATGGGGATAGTATCGATACCATTTTTAAGATGAAATTTTAGAATGCCAAAATGGTATCAATAACTTAAGGAGGAATCGATACCCTTGAAGTGAAGTATCAGTACTGGAGAGGTAGTACCGATACTTCTAGGCATGAACGAAAAATTAGGGTTTCTTTCATCATAAGCTATTCTGATTGGATATAAGCGATTCGAAGAACGATATTGATTTTCGATTATTTTGTGTAGTGACTGAACGTAATCAACTTCCAGTCAGCTAGACATATTAAGTAATGATTTGAAAGGGTTAAGGATTTTGCTTAGAACTTCAGTGAGGCAAAGGTGAGTGCAACTTCTTGTTTTGTAATAGAATTGAGGAAGGCTTGCGATAAGCCAACCTCAGTGTTTTCGATTGAAAACTTTATAATTTGTTTTATGTTAAATTACAATGTTTTATTCAATTTATATTATATAAGTTATGTTTTATGATCGTATGATTATGGAAATGTGAACTTTGAGCAAGTGTACGTGAAAAGACTATATGTGAAAGTAACTATGTGAATAAGAGACACTTCGAATAATGATTAAACACAATTATGTGATTAATAGCTCAAAGTATATGTATGAGGATTAGAGGTATAGTTGGCATGCCAAGAGTCGAGGGTTTTATGTGGTCATTCGGGATAATTATGTAGTTTTTCGGGACAAATATGTGGCACTTCGGTGCAAACCTATGTGGCACTCCGGTGCAAACCTATGCGGCACTCCGGTGCAAACCTATGCGGCACTCCGGTGCAAACCTATGTGGTCATTCGGGAAAATTATGTGGCACTTCGGTGCAAATTACGAGCTGTGGTGACAATATTAGTACACAACCTCAATGTACTCAAATACCTAACGTTCTTAGTAGTATACCTTGGGCATTTGGAACAAAGATACACAAAGTGAATACTATTTATAAGTATACCTTTTTGATATGGAAAAAAGTTGAAATACTTTATAAAATTTTTCGATAAAAACCAATAAATATTTCCTTTATTAAGTTAGCACTCTTAGTATTTTGCCTAACTTAGTCATACACTTAGCGTGTGACTTTCTCACGCGTAGGTTTGAAGAAAGCAGAAGATTGAATTGTTGAGGATAGTATACCGTGAAGATCAGATCAAGACAAATTAAATATAGGATTTTGTGTTAATTTTTTAAACAGTTAGCATGTATTATACGTTTAATTTGAAATGCTTTGATCGATTTTGTAAAATCATATATTTTGTATTTATGTAAACTATCAAGTTTTTGTGTAAATATGAAGTTGAAATGATTATATTATTTAAGTTAAGGTTTATATTTTTTTATCTTGATCAAGAATTTTAAATTTTTTATTATTTGTTAATTACATATGTTTTGAAAAGTCAATGTGACACCTCAGATTCGTATTCGGGTCAGGTACGGGTTAGGGGTGTTATAAGGTTGATTCGAATAATAGCAATAAATAAATGAATATAACAGTGGTTAAAGTGTAAAAAAATTAAAATTAGTGGTTAATTCAAAATAAATAAAAGCATAATTAAATGATTAAATTAAAATGAAACAAAACAGAGCGTTAAAACCATAACAAATAAAACAAAATAATACATAGTGACTAATATGTAAAAACACACATAACTTAGGGGGATTATTTCATGATTTTCCTTAAATTAAATGGCTAGAATGCAAAGAGGCTCTAAACAGATAAGAACCTAAGAGTAATTTAACCCTAGAATAGTGACTAAAATACAAATAGGCGCCAAAAGTATGGGGACCTAAGCATGATTAACCTTTAATTCTGGGTGACAAAAAGCATGAAGTACACTGAAATCATGGGACTTGATGCGTGATTTACCCAAAAGCTTAAAACAAAAACCTCCATTTTTATTCCTTCCATTAGCCTGTGAAAAACCAAAAAATTTGCCCCTCCCTTTTTTTCATCTCTCTCACTTCTCTCCCTCTTTCTCCTTCATGCGTCTGATGTCCCTCACTCCAAATCAAGCTCGGCCACCGCCCAACGGTTATGCTCCACATCCATTCAACCCCAGTAAAGGCTGAGGAGACCGCCCAACAACACAAACAAACCAAAAAAAGCCCCCAACCCCTTTTCTTCCTTGATCGAAAGCCCCTAACCCTCTAAGGATGTCGTAAATCAGTAACGAGTAACCACGACCACAACCATCGGTGGTCGGGTCCTACTTTAAACGTAAAAGAAACCTAAAAAATGATCCTCTAAAGTTTTATCTTACCAACGCTTCAACTCGCAACCCTGACGACCTAAACTCAGGTGAGGGACTCGAACAATGCAGGTAAAAGGCTTCCACTCTTCTGTCGTTTTTGTTTTGAAAATACATGCATGCGTAAAAGAATAAAAAAAGGAGGTTCAAACCGAACCTTGCGATGATGGAAGGATTTTTGCTCTTTTTTTTTTGCTATTTCGAAAAATTCCCTTACACTTGTTTGATTTTACAGGTTATATACGAATTACATCTGTCAAATAAAAATATTTTGTTTGCTGATTTGATTGGTGAAGTTGGTGGTAGCGTACAGTGTTGGTGTGGATGGCAAGGCATGGTGGTTGCAACAGGTATGCTGCAGTGACAGGGCATGTCAAAAATGGTGATTACAGTTGCCCATCTTTGCTCGTTGTTGTGGAACAAGAATGGAGCAAAGATTGAAAGCACTATTTTTTGCCTGAACTGCTTAAATTCCTGAGCTACAAGTTATTCTTAGTATGAACTTCTTCTCTCTTCGGGTGATTTATTCTCATTATGAACCCTTCTATTGGAAATGATGATCCATCTCCTTCTGTGATGGAATCAAACAAAATGTTGATGTTTGATCTATCTCATTCTATGATAGAATTTAGCGAAAGGGTGAACAAGTTCTTCTCATTATAAACCTCTTCTCGCTCTTAGGATGAGTTGTTCTCATTATGAACTCTCTATTGGAAATGTTGATCCACCTCCTTTTGTGATGGATTTGATCAAAATACTGAAGCTTCTCCTTCTGCAATAGAGTCAAGGAAAAGGGTGAACAAGTTCTTCTCATTATGAACTTCTTCCTCTTCGGATGAGTTCTTCTCATTATGAACCCTTCCATTGGAAATGTTAATATACCTCCTTCTTTTATTGATTTGAGTAAAAGGTTGGACAAGTTTTTCTCATTATGAACTTCTTCTTCCTGCTCGGATAATTTCTTCTAATTATGAACCCTTCCATTAGAAATGTCGATCCACCTTCAGCTGTGATGGATTTGAACAAAGTGTTGACGCTGATCTACCTCATTCTGTGATAGAATCGAGTAAGATGGTTGAACAAATTCTTCTCATTATGAACTTCTTCTTCCTGTTCAAACAAGTTCTTCTCATTATGAACCATTCCATTGGAAATGCCGATCCACATCCTTTTATTATGGATTTGATCAAAATGCTGATGTTGATCTATCTCCTTCTACGATAGAGTTGACCAAAAAGGAGAACAAGTTCTTCTTATTATGAACTTCTTCTTATTCTTTGGATGAGTTCTTCTCATTATGAACCCTTCTAGTGGAAATGACAATTCACCTCCTTTTATGATTGATTCGATCAAAATGTTGATGTTGATCTATCTCATTCTACGATAGAGTTGAGCAAAATGGTGAACAAGTTCTTCTCATTATGAATTTCTTCTCCTTCTTTGGACGAGTTCTTCTCATTATGAACCCTTCCACTGGAAATTACGATTCACCTCATTCTATGTTAGATTCGATCAAAATGTTGATGCTGATATATCTCCTTTTGCGATAGAGTCGAGCAAAAGGGGGAATAAGTTCTTCTCATTATGAACTTCTTCTCCTTCTTTGGACGAGTTCTTCTCATTATGAATCCTTCCATTGGAAATGACGATCCACCTCCTTGTGTGATCGATTCGATCAAAATACTTATTCTCATCCATCTCATTCTGCGATAGAATCGAGCAAAAAAGGGAACAAGTTCTTCTCATTATGAACTTCTTCTCCTTCTTTGAATGATTTCTTATCATTACGAACCTTCTATTTAAAATGATGATCCTCCTCATTCTGTGATGGATTTGATCAAAATACTGATGTTGATCTATCTCCTTCTACGATAGAATCGAGTAAAAGGGGGAACTCATTCTTTTCATTATGAATTTCTTTTTCTTCTTAGATAAGTTCTTCTTATTATGAGCCCTTCCATTAGAAATGACGATCCACCTCTTTCTATGATGGATTCGATCAAAATGCTGATGATGATTTATCTCATTCTGTGATAGAACCGATCAAAAGGTTGAACAAGTTTTTGTCATTATGAACTTTTTCTCTCTTCTATGGATGATTATTTACGTTATGAACTTTCTTTTGGAAATGTTGATCCACCTCCTTCTGTGATAGATTTGAACCTGTAAAAAGATTATCATATGTCAGTAACAATTGTATTTGAAATACCTGAAGGTATTGACCCAAAGGTCCTCGAAACTTTACTGAGATCCACATTTTCAAAGATTGAAAAGCGGACTAATTCTTTGCTGAAATCTTCTTCAATAGGGAAATGTGAAATCTTTGCTAACTTTGGAATTCCTGTCAAATATTCAACATCTGGATGAAAATGAATAAAAAATTTGTTTCAAGAGAAGCTATCTCAGGTAACATAAAATTTGGTTTTGAGTGAATCAAATTTTATGTTCCAAGGGGAAACTGTCTCAAGCGATACAAAATTGATTTTAAGAAAAACAATCTCAAGTGAGATCTATTTGGTTTCAGGTGAAACAAATTCCAAATTTTGTGTTTCAAGGGAAAAATGTCTCAAGCGGGATGAAATTGGTTTTGAGAAAAACAATCTCAAGTTAGATCAATTTGGTTTAAGGTGAAACAAATTCCAAAATTTGAGTTTCAAGGGAAAATTGTCTCAAGCGAGATGAAATTGGTTTTGAGAAAAATAATCTCAAGTAAGATCAATTTTGTTTCAAGTGAAACAATTTCAAAATTTGTGTTTCAAAGGGAACTTTTCTCAAGTGAGACAAAAATTTTGAATGAAATAATTTAACAATTCATATTTCAAGAGAAAATATCTGAAGTGAGATAAAAGTTTGATTCGAGTGAAACAATTTCAAAATTTGTGTTTCAAGGGAAACTGTCTCTAGCGAGACGAAATTGTTTTTAAGAAAAACAATCTCAAATGTTCGTGTATTAAGGAAGACTGTTTCAAGTGAGACAAAATTTTGTTTCATGAAAAATAATCTCAAGTGAGATAAAAAATGTTGTACAGAATGAGAAGCTTTGAAAATCTCTTTCTCATTTTCCATGAATATCATATGAAAACATCAAAATGTTCGGGTACTATGCCCCACTTTAAAGCAATCATTCTTTTATGGATTGGGTTTCTCCACTCTTGATACTCTACCACTCCAAACATGATTTCCTCTATTTGAGCTCCAAATTATGACTTTATCTTCTCGAAGTCTTAATATCACAAATCTTCTTCCTTCTTTAGAAGATCTATGAAGGATCATGCGTCTTTTTATGAAGATGCGAATGCAATTGAATGTAGCTAAATGTAATGCATTTTTTTATTTGAATGATGTTCTCATGGATGCAACAATGTTGTTTCATTTTCTTTTTTATTTCAAAGTAAAGAACTCAGTCTTCCTTCACTTAATCAATATTGGCTAGAGCTTACTCCAACATTAGCACGGTGATTTGTCAGTTTAAGCAAGCGTTCTCTGAAGAACAATCTTACCAGCTTGTGTCATCATGTCTTCTCTCTACTCTTGTTTTTGTTTCTTTGTGAAAATATCAGAAGAAATGCTCTCTCTTTAATTCTTGTTACGGTCAGATACATGATCTTGACTCCTTTAATCTCTGACCCAATTGTTCTATCAGAGTTGTTTCTTCAAGAATTTTCTGCCAATTGAAGCATGAATTATTTGTTTTTCAAAGTAAACTCTTCTTGTGTTTATATTCTACCCCTGATACTTTGAGTAACTAGGTTTATTCTCAATACATTCTTGATTTGAACTCGTTATCCCCACATGATTTGGGTCTTTGGTCATATCCCAATGTGGGTACTTATGATGCTCTTGATCATCATTATCAAAAATTCTTATTTTTAAACTTGCTCAAACAAGTGATTAATACATCTAGTACAGGAAAGCCCCAAACATTTGTTATGACTTAAGATACTGAAAAATATCAAAACAATACATGCATCTTCTTATTATGGCAGTTGTTTGCTTCTTAATCTATTATTGATGATGTCAAAAAAGTAGTGTGAAAAGTTTTATTCTTGAGTTTTCTGATCTTTTAGACTTTGTTGTTCCAAAGATTGGAGAATGTCTCCCTTGCCCTTACCTTTTATTTGAGGCAGAATAAGCCTCACCAGCTTCAAGGATCTCAATAATTCTCAAGAAATTTTCTTATTTATTTGCCCTAGATGAAAACGTCTTGAAAAATGTCTTTGATGAGGATTGAATAACTGTCCTCATGAATTTAACTCATACACTATTTTACAAATGAACAAAAGTTTCAAGGTTTTTTGGGCTACTTTGGATTCCCTGTACTTTAAAAGATTAGCTCAAAGTAATACCAAGAAATCTTTTGTTTTCTTTTGCACTGTGTTAATCTACTTATAAGATGCTTGTAAGTGAACAAAATTGGGGTTTGAAATGAAAAAATTGGAATTTTTACAAAGTCATGGCAATCACGTAAAGGATAAAAATCAAGAAATAAAGTCAGATGCCTTAAGCATCATTAGCATGAATATTCCCAAACCATTCAACTTGATATAATTTGGAGCATTGAGGTAAGCTTCTGTCTTGAAGAATGCAAATATTGCCAAAATGTATGTAGATGTGAAGTACTCTCAATCAGGCTCTCTAAATCAATAAACTAAATATAGCCCCAGAGCATAAGGTATGTTCTTGTCTAGAGGACTTCAAGAATTGCCACAAAGCTTGCAGATGTGAAGCTCACCCCAAAGTACTATAATCTTGAGAGGGTTTTACTTGTCGGATGCCTAATATCAAAATGCATTTGAGCCACATTTTAAGGTTTTCAACTCATATCATTCCTTTGGTTTCAAGATGATCTTCGTGGATTCTCGTCTTAAACCCTCCTTTCATTTTTTTCTCTTTTCTCTTTTTTTTTCTTTTTCCTTATTATTTTTCTATCATTCTCCTTTCTTCAAGTGTTGTGCTTCTTAACTCAAATTTGAATTTATTGGATCACTCAATCAAAACTCCTCCAGAAACAACATCTTTGACAATGTATGGTCGTCTCCCAAATAGACATCCATTTCCCACGAAAATCTTTATGAATTGGCAAGATCTTTTCAATGACTAGATCACCCTCTCATCCTTCTAAAGCTCGCGCCATTTGCTTATGACACATCTGTCCATGACAGATGACTTTTAACCTCTTCAACGGAGTTCAACTAATTATACAACTTGAGCGCGTCCAACTTTGTCTTATCTTTACTCATCCTCATAGTTGAAAGATTACTGATGAGAAACTTCCACATGCTTTCAGCACTTAAATTTTCTTTTCACGACTGTTCTTATCTTTAAATCGCAAGTCTCATGTACTATCATATTGTTAATCCAAAAGAACTTTGGTTTACTTGCGCAAGGATAACAAATATTTTCTGAAGAAATCACCCCTGCCCCAAATTCTCTTCTCAAAG